ACAATATAATGTGGATGGAGAGGTCACTGAAAAACCCAACTCGTCAAGAATCGATCGTAGCCAGATAATCTCACATGTGCCAAGTGCCAATGCCCGATACTCTGCCTCTGCGGACGAGCGGGAGACAACTGCCTGCTTCTTGCTCTTCCAAGAGATAAGATGAGTCCCTCGAAAAGCACAGAAACCCGTAGTAGATCGACCATCACATGCTCCCCCATAATCTGAATCTGAATAACAGGCTAGAGAACCGATCTGAGATCCTGATGCATAAAACAATCCAAGTCCAGGACAAGACTTGAGGTACCGAAGAATATGATAAACTGCATCAAGATGAGGCTGACATGGCCTATGCATGAACTGACTAACTCGACTGACTGCGAATGAAATGTCCGGTCTAGTATTGGCTAAGTAGATAAGTCTACCTACCAATCTTTGATAAACTGTCGGATCTTTCAACTCCTCACCTTCAGCAGTAAGCTTCAGGTTTGGAATCATAGGTGATGATGCCGGTTTGCACCCCAACATCCCAGTGTCTGAAAGAAGATCCAAAACATACTTTCTCTGAGAAAGAACAATACCTCTGCTTCTACGGGCAACCTCAATCCCAAGAAAGTATCGCAGAAATCCAAGATCCTTCACATCGAAGGCCTTCCCAAGGTCTATCTTGACCTGCGCAGTCCCAGAAACATCATCACCAGTAATAATAATATCATCAACATATACCAGAAGGATGACACACTGTCTAGAAGTATTCCGTCGAATAAAGCAGGTATGATCAGAATGACACCTGGTGACTGTTTCAGTCCATAAAGAGACTTACGCAGTCGACATACCTTTCCAGCATACTCCCCCTCACCACGAAAGCCCGGTGGTGCATCCATATAAATAATCTCGTTCAGATCACCGTGAAGAAACGCATTCTTCACATCTAATTGATGAAGAGGCCAAGAGTACTCCGCAGCCAGAGAAATAATTAACCGAACAGTAGTCAATTTTGCCACGGGGGCAAATGTAGCACCAAAGTCACGACCTGGTACCTGAGTAAAGCCCTTCGCCACAAGTCTAGCCTTGTAACGATCAATAGTACCATCTGCCAGAAACTTCAGGGTGTAAACCCAGCGACAGCCAACAGGCTTCACCCCTGAAGGTAAGGAGACAAGATCCCATGTATGATTACGCTGAAGAGCGTCCATCTCTGTCTGCATGGCAAGAACCCACTGGGACTCCCGCATAGCTTCCGAAATAGAGCGAGGAACCAGCGTATCTGATAAGGCCATAGTATAAGCTCGAAATGTGGGAGACAGATTACCATAAGAAACATAAGCAGAGATCGGATATAAAATCTTGGCGGTCCAACCATATCGATCAACTGGACGGCGATCACGCCTTGGATAACGACGCCCTAAATCACCATCCTCTACTGATAATATCTTATCAGGTAAAGTAACTGGCTCAGCACCTGTAATCTCATCAGTACTAACAACAGGTGCATCAATATGCTCAACAAACTGAGAAGTATTACCTGCATCGCCTGAGGTAGAGGGGATATCAGCAGGGTGATGAGAGCGAGGACAACGAGCATACACCTGCAAAGGAAGAGAGACTGGTAACTCTGTACTGACAGGGATGAGTGACTCCTTGGGAGGAAAAACGGATGACCCTGTAGGGATAGTGATCAATGACTCTGACTCTTGTGGTAATGGGAAGTCAAAGGGAGTATCATCAACTGGAGGGGCAGACAAAGGACTGAAAGGAAAAAAAGGAATATGCTCAAGAAAGGTAACATCTAGACTGTGATACATACGACGCCTAATAGGATCATAACAGCGATACCCCTTAGATTGATGACAATAGCCCACAAAGATACAACGAATCGCTTTATCATCAAGTTTATGACGAGTAGGAGACCGATCCTGAACAAAACATGTGCATCCAAAAACACGAGGGGGGACCGGAAAAAGTGTCCGCTCAGGAAATAAGACCTGTAAGGGAGCCTTATGCTGAAGAACACGACTCGGCGTACGATTGCACAGAAAGGTAGAAGTCAAAACAGCAAAATGCCAATAAGATTTTGGTACCCTCATGCCTCGAAGCAGACAACGTACCATCCCTATCAAACTCCTATTTTTCCTCTCAGCAACACCATTTTGCTCAGGAGTATATGGACAAGTGAGTTGCTGAAGGATACCCTGAGAAGAAAGGTGAGACACTAAAGCATCAGACACATATTCTTTGGCATTATCCGAACGAAGAGCACGAACAATGACATCGAATTGTGTCTTAATCATCTGTAAAAAACTGAGTGATTATAGGGAGCACATCAGACTTCCTATGCAAAAGGTAGACCCAAGTACAACGGGTATGATCATCTATAAATGTCACATAATATCTGGCACCTGACAGAGCAGTAACGGGAGAGGGTCCCCAAATATCAGAGTGTATTAGGTCAAATGGCTTGGGTGACTGGTGCATGCGAGGAATATAATTGGCCCTAACATGTTTTGATAGGGAACAGATAACGCAATCAAGTTTACCACCAACACAAGCATTACTCAAAGCAGGAAACAACATACATAAATATTTAAAATTTGTATGTCCAAAACGGTCATGCCACAATTGAACAGTTTGTGGCGAAAAATCATAACGACAACTACTAGGTAAAATACTAGCATGCAAGCTAGGAACAGAAAAAGACAAAGCAGGTGCAGGTGAAGGAATTGGTGAAACTGGAGATGGATTGCCAAGATAATACAGTCCATCTTTCTCATGTCCCTTGATAATAATCCTCCTGGTACTCAGGTCCTGCAAATAACACGAATCAGATAAGAATACAACCGCACAGTGAAAATCTCTGGCTAACTGATGTACAGATAATAGATTCATGGCCAACTTTGGCGCATGAAAAACCGAATGTAATGTAAGGCCATCTGGGAGACGGACTGTACCCCTACTAACAATAGGGGCATGTGTTCCATCTGCTAACTGAACCTGTGTATGTAACGGCTCGTCAAAAGTGGTGAAGTGATGGGCCTCACCTGTCATGTGACCATTCGCTGGTTCTGGTTCTGGTGTGGCGCTGGAGTCGCTGGAGTCGCTGGTTCGGTGTAATCAGTTTTCAGTTGGTGGAATGGTAGACGATTTTGGCTGGGTTCTGGTTCTGGTTCTGGTGTGGCGTTGGAGGTTGGGCAGGCTGTTGCAGATTGTTTGAGTGTTTTGGAATGGTGGCTGCTGGGAAGGTGATGAAGGCTAGGGTTAAGGTTAGGGTTAAGGTTAGGGTTAGGCTTAGAGATGGGGGCTAGGGTTTTGGCTTTGATACCAACTTGAAATATGTGAAAGGGATACTCAAACTCAAAGTAGAGTCCCGTATATATAGCCAAAAATAATACAGAGTGACTTAAATATCCTTGTAGTTTAGGCAAAATATAAAAATCATAGTAAGGGTAAAAAAGACCTAGACTACTATCTATACTCCAACACCTGCAAACCAGTTTTTAGAGGCAAGTTTCTCCATATGAATTCAGGACCATTGGTATTAGTGCTAGACACCATGTCTAAGTTGGATTAAGATTACTTATTATTATGTATTTGAATATTAATAAGCGAGGGGAGCCTCCAAAACAAAAAGTTTAGGGTCAATATCGATAGAATGGGCATGTTTGCCACAAATATGTTGTGATCTGGTTAAATATTAAAAATAGCAGTGTGCATGTGCTTGAGCTTCTTTCCCTTGCAAGCCGGTTCTCATGGTAATTTCTAACTACGGGTTCATATCAGAAGTGATGACGGTGGTTGCTGGGGGTGGCTCTGGTGGATTATCCGATGGGTGTGGTGGCTGTGTGGATGGGCTTAATGCTGGCTTTGACGCTTGGATTTTGAATTGGGTTCTTGGTGTTGTGGTGGGGTACTTTGTGGGATTTTCAGGTTTGGGTTTTGATAGTTTTCATGGTGGTGGAATAGAGATGGAGACGATTTCAGTAATGGAAGAGTTCATATTTATGGTGCTGATTAGTATAATTGAAGAGGAGGGGACGGAGGGTGGGTTGAAAGATCAAAATTTCTTTTCGAAATGATCCAAACGGCGGAAATATTTTAGTTTTCGTTATGTTTTAGAAACGTTTTTGAAATAGTTTTGAAGTGTTTCGAGTTTTTAGGTGACCGATACCGAAACAAAATTTTGATGCAAGTCTGGTTGAGCTAATGGTATATATGTTGCGAAGAGAGGTACACGGAGGAGTTATAGGGCTGTTAGTGGGTTAGGAGCTGTGGCAGGATGGGGAACTACCGGGTGTTTTTGAAAATAGGGTAATCTATGCGTGGTGTGGATGAAAATATTGTACCTCAGTGTTCCAGGCAAGGAAATGCAAAATAGAACTGCAAAAGTCCTTCCAAAAACTACAGTGCAAACTGATGCATCCAATAGACATAAGTCCAACTGATGCATAAGAGGTAAAAAGCTTGTAATTTATTGCATTTGCTCCATTTGGCCTCTCACCGGCCACAGACTAACAGCTTTCGTTGGCCTGCAGGGAATTATTATGATGTATTCAAGTCGTGTGTGAACTCGGGTGTACTTATAGTCTAACTTATATTGTTCGTTAGCTCTATCCCCTGGCCCTTCACATTTTATATTATGCTGCCTGGCAAGAGAGATAAACTGTCACACACACACACGCATAAGTATACTTACACCTCTGTGAAATTGGTAGTCAATGTTGTCACTCAATCCAATGATGTTAGCATTTTATGGGTCACTTCCCATTCATCTGATCCTCACCTTGTTCTCCGTCTTCTTGCTTTACAACCTCCCCTCCTCTTCTTCCACTTCCACGGCTGCTGGAAACGCCACGGATCACCACGCATTGCTGTCAATTAAGGCGAAGCTAACCTCTGACCCGCTTCAGATCACTGCCTCATGGAATGAATCCATCCCCTTTTGCAACTGGGCAGGCATTACTTGTGGTTGAAGACATCAAAGAGTCATCGCGATTAATCTGCAATCCATGAGTTTGAGTGGTACACTATCGCCTGCCAATGGTAACCTGAGTTTTCTTCAAAATCTTAAGCTCTCTGCAAATAGCTTCACGGGAGGAATCCCTCAAGAGATTGGCTGGTTGTCAAGATTGAGTACAGTAGAACTTAATAACAATTCCTTTTTGGGTGAAATTCCAGCCAATATATCAAGATGCTTGAATCTTGCAAAACTTCATTTGGCTAGGAACAAACTTGTGGGAAGGCTTCCAATGGAGTTCCAATCTCTATTGAGGCTTCAGTTTATTTTTCTGTACTCGAACTATCTAACAGGTGAGATACCGGCTTTTATTGGGAACTTTTCATCCCTTCAAAGATTCTCTTTGTTAGGAAATAATTTCCAGGGACATATTCCAGATACTCTAGGCCGGTTAAGGAACTTAACAGTTGTTGCATTTGCGACAAATAACCTGTCTGGTATTATTCCTCCTTCAGTTTTCAATTTGTCGTCTCTGATTATGATTGATGTGGCCCAGAATCAAATCGGAGGAGATCTTCCATCAGATATAGGCCTAAAACTTCCCAGACTCCAATGGCTCAATGTTGCACAAAATAAATTTACAGGATCTCTACCTCATTCATTGTCCAACGCCTCACAGCTTGAGGTGCTCGCAGTCAGTTTGAATGGCTTTACTGGAAAAGTACCCAGTTTTGGAGGGCTGCAGTTTCTGGGGCGGCTATTACTTCATAGGAACCAACTTGGAAATGGGGAAGCAGATGACTTGAGGTTTTTACCATCTTTGATCAATGCTACCCAACTAGAATGGCTACATTTCTTGAACAACAAATTAGGAGGGGTTTTGCCAAAATCAGTTGGCAACTTTTCGAAGCTTACCAGTTTTTCCATAGCACAAAATTTCATATCTGGAAACCTACCCACCGAAATAGGGGAACTAGTCAACTTACAGGGTTTATATTTGGGGCAGAACCAATTCCATGGTAGCATTCCTGATTCCATTGGAAAACTTCAAAAGCTTAAGCTTTTCTCTCTCCGTCAAAACAAATTATCGGGGTATATTCCTGCTTCTTTGAGAAATTTAACTACCTTGATCGGACTTGACCTAGGCGTAAATAATTTACAAGGAAGAATCCCATCTAGTCTAGCAAAATGCCAATATTTATTGATATTGGATCTTTCTCGGAATAATCTTAGCAGTTATATACCAAAAGAAATTTTTGGCATTTCTAGCTTATCTCGCTCTCTGGACCTATCCTACAACCTTTTAAACGGTTCCCTTCAATTAGAACAAGGTGACTTAGGAAATCTAGCTGTATTGGATGTTTCTGACAACATGTTATCTGGTGAAATTTCGAGTAGTCTTGGCAGTTGCACAAGCTTGATAAAGCTCAACATTAATGGCAACTCCTTTCAAGGGACCGTTCCTCCATCTTTAAGTTCTTTGAAAGGTATTGAAGTTTTAGATTTTTCTCGCAACAACTTGACAGGCCAAATTCCAGAATGCTTAGAAAATCTTGTGTTTCTACGGAATCTAAATCTGTCTTTTAACCATTTTGAGGGTGAGGTGCCGCTAGGGGAAGTTTTCCAAAATACAAGTGCAGTTTCAGTTGTTGGAAACAGTAATTTGTGTGGGGGTGTTCCAGAATTGCAGCTGCCTAAATGCAGCATCAAAGAAGCATCGAGAAAACATGGAATGTCTCGTGCAATAAAATTAGCAGCACCGATATCTGGTGGGATCTTGGTGCTAATTTATGTGTTGTTTTCTGTTTTTTGTTACAAATGGAGATATGCAAGAAAGGTGTCTTGCTCTTTGTCAGCGGATTCAACAAGGGATACACTCCCTAAAGTGTCATATGAAACTCTTTATAGGGCTACAGATGGTTTCTCATCAGCCAATTTGATTGGCTCAGGAAAGTTCAGCTCCGTGTACAAAGGAATTCTTGACGGAACTAAAACTATTGTTGCTGTGAAGGTACTCAACCTTAAAGCCCGAGGAGCTTCCAAGAGTTTCACGGCAGAGTGTGAAAGCGTTGGGACTTCTCAGGCATCGGAATCTTCTGAAGGTTTTAACTTCTTGTTCCAGCATTGATTTTCAGCGCAATAATTTCAAGGGTCTTGTGTATGTGTATATGGATTATGGGAGTTTGGATGGCTGGTTGCATGAGAAACCTAGAGTGGAGATTGAAAATTAGAAGCCTCGGAGGCGGCTGAACCTGCTTCAAGGATTAAACATCGCCATTGATATGTAGCTTGTGCACTTGATTATCTTCATTATCATTGTGGAACACCATTGGTGCACTGTGATCTCAAGCCAAGTAATGTTCTGCTGGATAGTGAGTTGATTGCTCGTGTAGGCGATTTTGGGTTAGCAAAGTTTCTTGCAGAGGCCACAACAACATTTCCTTCAAGCCAAGCCAGCTCCATAGGAATAATTGGGACCATTGGATATGCTGCCCCAGGTAACTCTGTCTTCTCTTTTTCTACATTTTTCTGCATTTCAGAGCTTTCCTTCGCTTATTGTTAAGGCTGGCTGTATACCAGACACATATTCATTTTGATGTATAATTGTAATTGTCATCCTAAGGCTTCTTTTTTCCCTTTTTTATTGGATATTCAGAAAGTTAAATTACTTGAATTTCAAAAATGAATGGGTGGTTTTGACTATTGTAGCATGTGGTATGAGTTAATGGAGCAAGTAATCTGAAACCCTTTTGCTGTTTATTCGCTGTTTAGTTCAACTGTCATTATTACTTCTCAATTGAGAGCAACTCTAGTCAATGCGTTAATTCTATATTTGCATGCCAAACTTAAGCTTTAATTTTTTACTTTGTGCCGTAGATAGGCTTTTTTTTGGTCACTTTTGAAAATCTTGTGAAGCTGACGAAATCTTAGCTTTTTGTGGTGTGGTAAGCATGCATGAGAACTTTTTTTAGGGCCTTCTTTTTTCTGCTTTTATAAGAAAAAAAATAGGACGCAGTGTTGATTATGGGCCAAAAAATAGTGTACAAGCTTTAAAGATCACATTGAAATAATCTAAAAATTAAAGATGGTCAAATTTCAACATCTACCAAAAAATTAGTTTGAAGTGTGGAAAGCCAATTTTCCAAACTTAGAAGAAGGGAAGAGGGGGGGGGGGGGGGTGTTGTGGGGACATGGTCTCCCTAATCCTGAGGGGGTTTTCCCTCTGCTTGAGATTCAGTGAAATCATTGTTTCAACAGTCTATTGTACAATGCTTTGCAATATTCACACCTTCACATCAAAGTGAGTGCATGCTTACCCACAGCTGATTTAAATGCATAGAGACCTAATATTTAGGGTTATTTTCACAAAAAAAGGTTGTTTAGCTCATCTTCTATCACTTACCAGAGCATTTTGTCATGATTCAAGTAGTGGTTTTTGCGCCAAACACGTACAATTGTTGAAGTAAAATAAAAAGAATAAAATAATACTTTTGTTAATAATATGCAGAGTATGGCATGGGCGTGGAGGTTTCAACATGTGGTGATGTGTATAACTATGGAATCCTCTTGTTGGAGATATTTACTGGAAAGAGGCCCACCGATGACATGTTTAACAATGGTCTAAACCTTCATAACTTTGTTAAGATGGCTATACCTGAATGAGTTACGGAAATTTCTGATCCAGCACTCTTTCACACTGAAGACAAGGAGACAGCTAAAAGTTTTCAAACTTGTACTCGGTCAAAATATGACATTATTGAGGAGTGCCTCATTTCAATTTTTATGATTGGAATTGATTGTTCCATGGAATTGCATAGTAAAAGAATGGACATTGGTTCTGCGACTGCTCAACTCCAATTAGTCAAAGACGTTCTCATTGGAATTAGGATACGAGAAGAAGAGGGTGGAAAGAAAATCCAAGGGGTATGACTTTGTAGTTCATAATTGGGCCATTTATACCTCGACTGTTATTCCTGTATCTGTCCTATTATGCTACTTGTCTCTTCTATACTTCACTTTGCGCTGTACTTTTATCGTTTCTTACTCTTTGCTCTTTGGTCTCTTGCATTAGCTCTTTTGAAGGAACGAAAAGAAAATAGGAAAAAAGAGTTTTCTGGTTAAAAACAATGGTAATCAAAGTCACTCTTGTAATACTGAATTTTTTGGGATAATTCATAGTAAGTCAAAGCACACATACCATAATGAGCCCGAGTATGAATATGGCATGGTATGTATGCAGGACATATATCCACAGGCATGCTTTATAGTTTTTTTTTTCCCTATCTGAACTGCCAACCTTATATTCACAGGAATGTAATATGATTACAATCAGTGAGAAAAATAGCCTTTAGTGCATCTGGTGGCATGCGTCTTGTAATTCTCTAGAATTTTTTACTGAGGTTATTTAGTGACTTGTTCCCATGTTGAAATTCTACTAGATCACAAGTATACAAGAGTTCTATTCTTGTAAGGCAGTGAGTTACATGAATATTTTCCTTTCTGCACTAAGAAAAGGAAGACTGCAATGTCACAATTTGCGAATATAGTTGTATTTGTGTCCACAAATTTCTGAGTTAGATTGATTTGCCACTATAACACAACTGCTCAAAATATACAGATGCCTCTTGTTGACAAAACGTTGACTTACAGGTAACCAGCAATCTGTGTTTGATTGTTTACATATCCTTGAGCTGCTATGGCCTTTGCCATAGTTTTCTTTCTTGCCTTTTTAGTTGCCAAGTTCCATTGCATACTTTTTTTTAGATACTGCAACATGAATTTTTAGCAATGTAAGGAGAGAGAGATTTAAGGCACCTAGGATTCTTAGACAGGATCAGTCTTTGTCACCTTTTCGTTGGTCGTGGGTTCTTTAAGTAGATTAATGATTCGGCCGAGGAATTTTAATTTGATTGAGGGGTTTTCAAATCGGAAAGATGAAGTGGATGTCACATTTGCATGTCGTTAATTATATGACGTCGAATCTTGTTACTCTTATTGAGGTTTTTCCTAATGTTCTGGGGTTAAAGGTTAATGTGTCTAAGAGTGTTGTAGTGAGTTGGTTTTTTTGGATGTGTCATCTTCTAATAAGAGATATTGAACTTTCTGTTTTTCTGGGGTATTTTATTTTGAATCATTCTTTAAGTTTCAAGGTTTTACAAATTAGAATCCTACTTTGGATCGATGGGGGAGGTTAAAGGATCGGAATTGTAGGATTGAACCGAGAATTCCAAGATCGTAAGAACTCAAAAAATGAGAAAAAAAAATGTATGTAACAATACAGAATTCTTAAAAACAAGAATGAAACTAGCCTAGTATAAATACAAATAGAAATTTTCTACGTCTGATGACATGTTTACCAATGGTCTATACCTAACCAAGTTTTAGAAATCTCTCATCATGCTCTTTTCCAAACTGAAGAAGAAAAGACAAGAATGAGCTTTCAAACTAGTCGTCAGGCAAAAACATGACTATATTGAGGAGTGCCTCATTTCGATTTTTAGGATTGGAATTGCTTGTTCCATGAAAGTGCCTAGACATTGTTGCTGCAACTACTGAACTGCATTTGATCAAAGACATTCACCTTAGAGCTAGGGTACAACGAGATATGTAAATTCGAGAAGTATACCCGTGGAGGTCATATTGGGACATATATACCTCTGCTCTTACTTCTCTCTTTTCCTTGTTATGCTATTTGTCCTTCTGTTATATGTGATTCTCTGCTTTATTTTTATCCTTTTTTACTCCTTGTTCTTAGGGTCTCCTGTTCGACTTTGGTCTCTAACTGGATTCTTTTTATCCATTATTTTTTAAGGAAGGAGAAGAAAATAGGAGAAAAACGGTCTGATATTGAAAACAACAGTAATTAAAGATGATTATATCCACAGGCATGCCTTATGGTTCCTCTTTTTTTTTTTTATTCCCTCGAACTGGGAAAATTACATACATAGACTAGAATGTAGTATGACTACAATCGGTTAGCAAAATAGCCTTTAGTGTGGTGGCCCGTCTCATAGGAGAGTTGTATCTTTGTATGACATGGTAAGTTAGATGAGTATTTTTCATTTGGTCAGCAGTTTGCTAATTAGTTGTGTTTGTGTTTGTAAATTTTTTAGCTAAATGGACTTCATACTACTGCTAACAAAATGCAGATCAGTCTTGCTGACAGACCTTACCCGCTTACAGGTAACCCAAGATCTTTTTTTAACTGTTTTTTTTTTTTTTGAAATACCGTTTGTACTTCCTCTAATCTTCATCACATATAGTATGTAGTAATAGGATAAATATATGGTACCAAAAGTTTTTTTTTTGTAGGGTTCCGTACAACAAATTATAATTTTGTGGGGGTCAGTCTAGGTATTTCATATTGATCCTAAATTTGGGATCTATACTAAAACATAGTGTTCATCCAAATTTTTTGTTATAATTTGATCCAAAAAACCTAACTTAAACCACAAAAATTATAATTTTTAGTATGATACTTCCGTCGATACTACTGCCTGTTGTAATAATATAAGTATCTATATTACTAATAAAAATACACCATTAATAAAAATTTTGATTGACTAATTTAACCATAAAATAATATATAAAGACAATATTAACTTTATTTAATTTAGAACTCATATTAATAAAACTTGATTGATGCTAAACTTTTAATTGGACAACTTTACTCTCAGAATACTAGCATTATTTATATGGAACTCATATCAATAAACTTCATTAATGTTACACATAACCAAGTCTTTCATATTCTTTTAAAAGACAAAAATTAATTATTGAAATAATTAAATTAAATTTTATTTATGTCTATCTATTTTCATTAGTTGATGACAAGTTCTTGAATTTTCAAATGAAATTGCATAAATGCACTAGAGTCTTATTTAATATAATATAATATCTATTTTAATATAATTTAGATAATATTATTAAACCCTAACTTTTCATTTTTTTCTCTTTTATGTTTTAGTTTTAATAAATGTTCTTTAGTTATGTTTATTGGCAATACTAGAAACCATTTTATTTGTATCGATTAACAATGCTGCAATTATGTTTAGTCTCACATTAAATTACTTATCACAATTTAGCTTTTTAAATTTGTTTAATCAATTGCTTATAATTAAATGACCGCCATAACTTAAAATAATTCGCTTTCATAATTTAATAAGTGTTTACGATACTTTTTAGTTATATATACTCATGTACTATAAAATATATTTGTAACATTAGTATGATGTTGCAAACAAAATTAATCTAAATAATTAATTTCATGTGAAAAGTTCTAAACTTTAAGGGTACAAGTTTACAAGAAGGTAATTCATTAAAACTTAAGAGAAAAAACAAAAAATACAATAATATTCGTTTTACAAATATGTATTGTTATGTCTATTACAAATTACACAAATGATATCATAGGAATATTCAAAAGGTTATATTTATAATTAGGTATTTGCTATTATATTTATTTAATTATTTCAAAAACAAAATTATAATTAAAAAAGTCCACGTACAAGACACGCGTGCACGATTTAGTACACACAAATGAGTGCTTTATTTTGTTAAATAATCACCTATTTTAAAAGTTTAAGTCGTTGGAGTAAATGCAACTTAAGTATTTATACTTCAACGCGCACCCTACACGTGCAAATTAAATTTTAGATTTAACATTTGAAAATCTTTTAAATAATTAGGGGGTGACAAGATTCGAATACATGACATCTTGCTCTGATACCATATTAAATAAATATCTACTCAAAAAACTTAAGTTGTTGGACATAGTGTAATTTAATTAAGTATTTATATTTCAATATATTTATGTATCGAAATGTCGATAACTTTTGCACATTAATAATTTATATCATAAAATATCTTATAATTCAAATGTTAAAAAATAAACAAAATAAGTTTTGTTATTCACTGTGAATATCACTTTAAATTTTATTTTAAAATTAATCTAATGACTAATATTAACACCTTAAATTTAATAAAAAAAATATGCTCCTAAGAGTGTGTTTGGAGTGACTTTTTAAAAATACTTTTAAAAATTATTTTTCGTTAATATTTTAAAAAAAAAAATAGTATTTGAAAACTGCCCTGCCACTGCCACCGCCACCGCCACCACCGTCCCCGCCGCCCACAACCACTGCCGTCGCCACCATCACCACCGTTGTCGCCGCCAACACCACCATTGTCACCACCACCACCGCAACCACCACCACCACCATTGTCGCCACACAGCGGCGTCATCACCACCATCACCACTGTTACCACCACCACTGCCACCGTCATCGCCACCACCAGCCCCATCACCATCGATGTTGTCGTCGCCGTTGTCGCACACTGCCACCCCCACCACCACTGTCGCCACCACCGTCGCCGCTACCACCACCACCATCGCTGTCGTCACCATCATCACCGCCACCGCCACCACCATCGCTACGCCTACCATCACTACCACCGCTGCCGTCACCACCACCACCCCTACTGTCTCTGTCGTCGCCACCACCACCATCGTCGTCGTCCTCGCCACCGCCACCACCACCATCGCCGCCGTCGTCACCGTCACTGTCACCACTGCCACCGTCGCTGTCGCCACCGCCCTCACCCCCACCATCGCTGCCGCCACCACGATTATTGTCACCCACCATAACCATCACCGTCTCCTACCACCTCCACTGCCCCTCACTATCTCTTACCCCCATTATAAATCGATACTTAAATTTATTTATCTCTTCTCTATGTTTTGGAATTTGATTTTAGATATGAATACAAATATATTTATTGTTTACTATTTTTTATTACTCTGTACCTTTAAGCACATACAATAATTAATTATTTAATAAAGTACAATACAATTCAAATTTCAAAATATAAACAAAATTATTTTTATTTTTCGTGGTTGAGATCTTTTTAAATTTTATTTTAAAGTTAATCCAACAGCTAATATTAACACTCAAAATTTAATGGAAAAAAAAGGCTCCTAAGGATGTGTTTGAGTTAACTTTTTAAAAGTGCTTCTAGAACTTATAATTTCTCATAAATATTTTTTTTAATAAAAAATAGTGTTTGGAACTGATCAACCATCACCCCCCATCGCCCCACCACCACCACCACCACTACTCCAACCACTATTACCGTTGTCATCACCACACCACCACCTCTGCCATAATAGCCAACATCATCACTATCGCTACTCAACCACCACTACCATTGTCGCCACCTCACAACCACCACCACCACTGCCGCCACTTTATTACCACCGTCACTGTCTCACCATCACTTTCTACCACCACCACCCCTACCAGTCCACCACCACCATCACCATTGCCATCCAAGGCTGCTACCATCACAACCTGTCGTTGTCACCCATCACTGTTTTCCACCACTATTACTACCACCCACTCGCCCCCATTATAATCGGTGCTTAAATTCATTTTTTCCTCCTCTATCTTTGTAATTTGATCTTCGGTGTGAACACAAATATGCTTATTATTGATCTTTTTTTTTTATTATTACGTGCTTTCAGGTACGAAAAATAACTAATAATTATATATGTTACTAGTGTTGACCCCATGCGATGCATGGTCCTTATTAAAAAAAAAAAAGACATGCAATTCCATATATAGACTCAAGAAATAATACACCAAAATATAAGTGTTTAAAAATGCTAGTGAAATTATTCCAAACCTAAGGAATAATAAAGTGTACAAGGGCACCACTACTATTAAATAGAGAGACAGAAAAACAAAATGGAGTAACCGTAGATTCAACTGTGGTGATGAGTGTAGGTGGTATTGTTGGAGTTGCACGTAGCATTGCCAAGCTACAAGAAATCTTGCATTTTAAGAGATGGTACAAAGTTAAATCGACAACAATTTGCACACCAATAATAAGAATAATTTTGCCAATACATTAATCAATTTGCATTTGGTATTTGTCACATGCGACGAAAAGAAAAGTAAAAATAAAAAATAAAAAATAAAAAAAGGCAAAGAATTTCACCTTATAATGGTATGGAGTATTTCACCTTGTAAAAAGTTCAAAGAATTTCTCTATATCTCTATAAGTATCTGTAATACAGTAAAAATAATTAAATATATGAAGACTAAATGCCACCAATTTTCAGTATTGATTATTGAAAACAACTTAGTTCATGCAAATAGACCGTAGTTAAGACGGAGAAGAAAGTAGCACAAACAATGACAGAAAATTTGGGTGTGAATGACCAAATGAGAAAATTTGGGTGTGAATGACCAAATGAGAAATAGAGAAAAAAAGACGAAGATATGTTACATATGTGAAAAAATAAAAATTTTGTTTTATGAAAGTAAACACTAATGAGACTGAAGACATAATGTATGGTAGCAAAACCACTAAGAATTGAAGGCGTGAAGCATAACCCAGCAAAACAAATCCAATCCATAAATAAAACAATGGCATGACAACCACTGTAGCAACAAACCCATTACTGTCAAGACTCTTGAATGCTTGATCGACACATGTAATTGAATACATATTTGCACCTTTTTTTTGTTTCGACTTCATCTTTGCAATTCAAGTGGAGAGAGAGAGAGAGAGAGAGAGAGAGAGAGAGAGAGAGAGAGAGAGAGAGAGAGATGTGTTTACCTTGACTGGATTTGGCAATACATTACCGTGTAATTAACCCTGCAAAGTGAGCATACATTACCGCGTAATTGACCTTACAAAGTGAGCATCCATGGCTCTATGAGAACTGGTCATCTATATTGACTGGTGGTTTCTTCTCGAGAGTTTTTTGGTGGTCCTTTTCTGGTGATTGAATCCTAGAGATGTAGAGAGTAGGTATTCCATCAGATATAGATTAGTTTTTTAGCATGGCTGAAAATTTGTAATGCAATGGTTATTATATAAGAGCAATGTTACAAAACTCAAAAGAAACTCAAAAAACTGCAATCCAAATGTATATAAGATAGTTAAAAAAATATTACTAAGATTATTTTTTACTAAAAAATTATTTAATAAAAACATTGCTAAACGGGACATGAATCTTTGTCTATGTATGTGTATGTGATTTTGTGTTTGAATCTAATGGGATGAGAATTTTTAGCAATTGGGGGTAGGAGGCGGCTGGAACTTGGACGGATGGGTTTGGCGGAGGTTGTGTCTAGAACCGAAAAAGGGGTTATCCAAGGCAGTGTTGACCTTTGGTTCTGAAAGAAAAAAAAGAAAGGAAAGACAGGTATGTCCAAAAACTATAAGGTTGTTTTCATCTTTAAAAACAATATGAGAATTACGTTTTCATTTGTAAATGTCAACGGATTTATATACAAAGGAGCCATGGAGTGAATTGAAGTTTAGCCTATACTTTTACAGGGAAATTGTTTTTCTTGTAAAGGGTACTCTTTCCTCCTCCATCTACAACATGGTTTCATTTCTATTTCTTTCATACTCACTAGAGGTAAACAATGTTTTTTCCCAATCCAATTAAGTCGGCACTTTCCGGCTCACTTTCCATCCATCTGTTCCTCCCCTTCTTCTGCATCTTCTTTCTTCAAAACCTTCCCTCCTCCTCCTCCTCAACCACCTCCATGGTTGCTGGGAATGACACGGATTACCTTGCGTTGCTATCATTCAAGGCTAAACTAACCTCTTACCCTCTTCAAATCACGGCCTCATGGAATGATTCCACCCACTTCTGCAGCTGGACGGGCATAATTTGTGGGAATAATATGATTGTTGGAATACTAGCCCCATTACCCAGGTCGTGGACTAGGCACACCATGGAGTGAATTGAAGTTTAGCCTATACTACTTTACTGGGAAATTGTTTTTCTTGTATAGGCTACTCTTTCCTCCTCCATCTACAACATGGTTTCATTTCTTTTTCTTTCATACTCACTAGAGGTAAACAATGTTTTTTCCCAATCCAATTAAGTCGGCACTTTCAATTAAGTAAACAATGTTTTCCTCCTCCGTATCTCCTCCGCTAGTCCCACTCCTGCGCACGTGAGAGTCTCAAGACCTCTCTTTGATTCAAATGTTAGATAACACTAATACATATATATACTCAAATATCTTGGGATGTTTAGTCGATGTGAGATTGAGTTCCCACATAATAAATACTCTTTTAATTAAAATATTCTAACAATCTATCTTACAGGAGAGATACCGGCTTTTCTTGGAAATTTTTCAACCTTTCAGAGAATATCTCTGTTAGGAAATAATTTCCAATGAAATATTCCAGATACTCTAAGCCGGTTGAGAAACTTAATAGTTCTTGCATTTGTCGTAAATAATCTCTTCGGTTCTATTCCCCCTACAATTTTCAATTTGTCTTCTCTCATTATGATTGATGTTCCCTAGAATCAAATCGGAGGAGGTAACCACTAAGTAGGGTGGTTTAGTGGGATATCGGTCTTACTTCTCACTTTGAGATTAGGAGTTCGAGTCTTGGAGTTCTGATGATTGGCCGCTATGCTAGCCTGATTAGGTCTGGCCTCGAGAAGTATTCCAGGTGCGGTTAGAGACTTTATAATCTCATCGATGAGGACGAATCGGGGTGGTCGCCAGCCTCTCTTCCTTCCCCCCTAAAAAAATTTTATCAAAAAAACAAAAAAAAAAATCGGAGGAGGTCTTCCGTCAGATATAGGTCTAAGTCTTCCCCTACTCCTATCGTTCAATATTGGACTAAATAAATTTGCAGGATCTCTACCTTATTCATTGTCCAACGCCTCACAGCTTGAGTTGCTTGCAGTGAATGCGAATGGCTTTACTGGAACAGTACCCAGTTTTGGAGGACTACAGTTTCTGGGCCGGCTACTGCTTGATAGAAATCAACTTGGAAACGGAGAACCAGATGACTTGAGGTTTTTGCCATCTTTGATCAACTGTACCCAATTAGGATTGCTAAGTTTGAGTGAAAACAATTTAGGAGGGGTTTTGCCGAAATCAATTGGCAACTTTTCGAAGCTTACCTGGTTTGACATAGAGCAAATCAGATATCTGGAAGCATACCCACTGAAATAGGGAAGCTTGTCAACTTACAGACTTTAACTTTGGGGCTGAATCAACTCCATGGTAGCATTCCTGATTCCATTGGAAATCTTGAAAAGCTAAATGTTATGTATCTCGCGGGAAACAAATTATCAGGGCATATTCCATCTTCTTTGGGGAATTTAACATCCATTGCCTATCTCTACTTGGGGGTAAATAACTTACAAGGTAGCATCCCATCTAGTCTAGACAATTGCCAGAATTTACTATTATTGGGTCTTTCTCAAAATAACCTCAGTGGTTACATACCCACAGAAATTTTTGGCCTTTCTAGCTTATCAATATTTCTTGATCTATCCTACAACTTTTTAATTGGTTCCCTTCAATTAGAACAAGGAGATTTGGGAAATTTAGTCTCATTGGATATTTCCCACAACATGCTATCCGGTGAGATTCCGAGCAGTCTTGGCCGTTGCATAAGCTTGAGAGCGCTCTACATTGATGGTAACTCGTTTCAAGGGACCATTCCTCCATCTTTAAGTTCTTTGAGAAGTGTTGAAGTGTTAGATTTTTCTCGCAACAATTTGACCGGGCAAATTCCAGAATATTTGGAGAATCTTATATTTTTACAAAATCTAAACCTATCTTTCAATGATTTTGAGGGTGAGGTACCACTAGGAGGAGTTTTCCAAAATGCAACTGCAGTTTCAGTTGTCGGAAATAGTGAGTTGTGTGGGGGTGTTCCGGAATTGCAGCTGCCTAAATGCAGCATCAAAGAAGCATCGAAAAAACATGGAATCTCTTTTGCTGTAAAATTAGCAGCACCCATATCTAGTGGGATCTTGGTGCTAATTTTGGTGTTGTTTTCTGTTTTTATTTACAAATGGAGACAGAGAAAGGTGTCTTACTCTTTTTTTGCTGATTTAAGAAGGGATATACTACCAAAAGTTTATTATAGAAGTCTTTATAGAGCTACAGATGGTTTCTCATCAGCCAATTTGATTGGCTGAGGAAAGTTCAGCTCCGTGTATAAAGGAATTCTCGACGAAACTGAAACGGTTGTTGCTGTGAAGGTACTCGAACTTAAAGTCCGAGGAGCTTCCAAGAGTTATGTGGCAGAGTGTGAGGCATTGAGAGTTATCAGGCATTGAAATCTTGTCAAGGTTTTAACTTCTTGTTCTAGCATTGATTTTCAAGGAAATGACTTCAAGGCTTTGGTTTATGCATACATGGATAATGGGAGTTTGGATAGTTGGTTGCATGAGAATCCTATGTTAGGGACAGAAAATGAGAAGCCGCGTAGGCGGCTAAACCTACTGCAGAGATTAAATATCGCCATTGATGTAGCTTGTGCCCTTGATTATCTTCATTATCATTGTGGAACACCATTGGTGCATTGTGATCTCAAGCCAAGTAATGTGTTGTTGGATAGTGACTTGCTTGCTCATGTAGGTGATTTTGGATTAGCAAAGTTTCTTGCAGAGGCCACACCAACATTTTCTTCAAACCAGGCCAACTCCATAGGAATAATTGGGACCATTGGTTATGTTGTTCCAGGTAACTGCCTTCCTTTTTTGTTTTTTTTAACGTATTATTGAGCTATTTGGCACTTATTTTTCATGGCTGATCAACACCATGAGCCTGGCAATGATTAGATTATGAATCAGAGTCTGATGAGTCTGTGATGTTTGTTTCCCATAAATCCAAGTCTAAATCCGAATCTCCTATATCTTATTTCATGAATTCAATTTGGATATGTAAAAATATGTAATTTGATGGTTATCTGATCTAAATCATATATTTATACTCTGTGAATCTAATAACGAAACTAGGAGATTATTTGTCAAGCTGAATAGAAAATGAGATATAAATAGCTAAATTCAAGTTAAGTGAGTTATTCAGATCAGATTAGATTTTTAGATCAAATATCCCATTATTAACAGACCTCGATATGCACTTTGAAAGTAATATTAATTAAATAATTGAGTCAAACTGAGATTAGAGTTTTTTAGTTAGATTCGTATCAATTGAAATTTGATTTTGAAATTTGATTCAAATCTAATGTGTTGGTACAGCTTGGTTGTTGTCTATCCAAAGCATCTCATTTACCATGTGATTGTCAAAGAAAATATATTCCTGGGAGTTCCAAAATCAATGCCCGGTGTTGATTTCTTGTATGAGGGTGGGTCTTGGAATAGTGGTAAAATTGTTTCACTGCGATTTGAATATCATGTTTGAGTTATTGAAATAATCTCTTTATATCTGAACTCTCCCCTCGGAATATTTATAGCCCTTGTTCTGTTTTTAACCCAAATTTAAATTTGGGTTAAAAAATACTTAAAAATCTTCTTCAATACTATACCCAAAATTCATATCAAATCAAGGGAGATTCAAATTTTTACTCAAATTAAAAGAGATTGAAACTTTTATTCAAATCACCAATTGTTAGATTTTATTCTCTTTTAAAAATCTAATTAATAGTCATATTCTATTCTCCTTTAAATTTAGATTTATCTTATTTTAAATTTGGATTTTCCCTCTAACTTTCTACTCAAATGTTGATTCTAATTGAGTAAAAATTTAAGTCATGCTCTTAAACCTCGCCGTGGTGAGAATCTTGTTCAATTGACTACTTTTTTTGTTGTTTGAAAATATAGTAGGTAATCTATAATCATTTGCTGTTTTTTTCAGTTTTTTTAGATGGTCAAACTATATGTCTATGGTGGGAGCTCAACTGTCGCTATTAGATTTCAGTTTGTTAATTCTCTATTTGCTAGCTAGAATTTCAACTTCAATTGTTTTTTGCCTTTTTGTATACTTTCCATCACTGTCACTTTCGAACATATTGGGAAGCTGACAAAATTCTTGAGGTATTATTTTTGGTGTGTTATGCATGAGGAGTTGCAATTTAGGTATCATTTGGCAACTTTTTTTTTGAAGTACTCTTTTTTATTTTTTTTATTTCTCTTTTTTCTTGTTTTTAAAAGTAGAAAACTGAGTGTTTGTTTTGCTCAAAAATAATTTTAAAAATTAAACAAAGAATCAGTAACACTTATATTTACTATGCAGAGTATGTCAAGGGTTCTAGAGTGTCAACATATGGAGATGTGTACAGTTATGGAATCCTCATGTTGGAGATATTCATTGGAAAAAGAACCACTAATGACATGTTTAATGATGGTTTGAACCTTCACAACTTTGCTAAGATGGCTATACCAGAACGGGTTATAGAGATTTCTGATCTTGCTATTTTCTGTAATGAAGACGAGGAGATAATTAAAAGCTTTCATACTGCAAAACATGAGCAAATTAAGGAGTGCCTCATTTCAATTTTTAAGGTTGGAATTGCTTGTTCCATGGAATTGCCATCAGATAGAATGAGCATTGGTGATGCAATTACTGAACTGCATTTGATCAAAGTGGATCTCCTTAGACATAGGATACAACAACAAGAAGGTGCAAATGTGCACTAGTTAGAACACATTTTTGTGAGATAGTAAAATGTTTTGACTAATGTGAGTGCATTTGAATATAAAATGTTTTAGGTTATTTGAATACACAAAGCGGGATACTATTACAAAGATGCTCCATACGTGTGGTGCGGTTTTCCTTAATGAGTTAAAATTAAATTAATAAGACTAATGTAAGTGAAAGTACATGTGAAGCATTTGATATATGGATGTGGATTAATCTAGTATATATCAAACAAGAAAAAAAAAAGATATATTAGATAGGACTAATTGGACAAAGTCTGATATATCAGTAACAAGTGATGCTCTTAAAGCTTAAACCACGAGAGAGAAAAATATTATGGAATTGACCCTCAATTATGGACAGATTTTCTCCTATGACTACCAAATCAAAGTATAATACAATCATCAATAAACATGTCTAATTTCACATCAAGTAAAGAATCAATATTTCAAAACCTTAACAGTACAAAAATAGCTTTTTCAGTTAACATTATTGGAAAATATGACTTCCTCAATCATTAATTTACAATGAGGGTTGGGGGTCGTGTTGTACAGTTTTTGTGATTGTGGGGGTTTCTACGTTTGAGATTTTGACAAAAGTGATATTGAATTAAATTTTCGTCATTTTACGTTGTTGAAATTAATGTGTTTTGAGTTGTCTTCATTGGTGAAGATTTTGGAGAATACTTGTCCTGATACTTTGTCATTCTACTAAGTTTTTGTACTTTGTTTAGAAATGTGAAGAAGTTATAAAATTTAATTGCAATGCAAAGTAACAAAATGTTACCTTCAATGTATATTCCACCAATTTATTATGAGTAACGTATATAATTTTATTACAAGAAAGAAGAATCTTTCTGGCAAAAAAAATTGTGAATGGGTTGCCACTATAATTGTGTCACCAAAATTAACAATGATGAGATAGAGAAATTGCCACAAAAGACTCAACTTTTGGTGACAATTTCATCATCACTAAAGCAATATCAAAAGTGACAAAAACAATCACCACTAAGTATTAAAAAACTCTTCATTATATTCATAATAATTATTATAAAAGTTGTAAAATATTTGCGATACGATAAAAATTGTTGTATAAAATTATGGTATGGACTCAATAAAACAAACAATAAGCAACTAATATGAGAATAGATAGAGTACTTATCAAATGAGATGTGAAAAATCACTGCTCTTAAAAATAGATTTCACATCTTGAAAAACTAGTATCAGTATAGAAGACCAATGGGGCCAATTCTCCAGGATATAACAATTGTTTCTCACAAACATGCATTCATAATGTGAGGAGCTGGAAACATCCAGAACTCAGAATGAGAATAGAGAATGAGAGTGAGATGGAAGAATAGGCATTCTTCAGCGGAGGATGTTGAATTGGTGAGGTTCTCCTCCCTTGCTTCACCTTCATCAATGGCTCCCAACCTCCCATTTCCTCGTCACTCTAACCTTCCTAACTCATCACTCCCTTTCCTGTTATGGACCCTAACCCTATTTCCGAACCTAGGGCCGTTGCCGACCGTGGTGTGTTGGGCGATTCTGCCTCCCCATCTACTGTTTCTGTTGTCATACCCACTAAGGGCAACGACCTTGTTACCCACCATACTGGTAGGGCCCAGATGGCTTCAATTCCCAACCAACAAGAGGTCTCGTCTACTAATTTGGTAAATGCCTCCATTAATGCCGCTACTAATGCTGTGATGGCGGAGGGTCTTACAGCTCCACCAAATCATCTCCAACAGACGAAGATTCTCCCTAACACAGGGGACACCACCTCTGCTCAGGGTAAATCTACTACAAATGTTCCGTGGAACCAGATGCTAAAGTATGGCAGGAATGGCCCTAACCCATAAACAAGTAGGCTTGAGCAAGACTCTATGAAATTGCAATATTTCCAACCCAGCAGGGTCAACAACCGAGTTGTTGTCCAACCCCCACCAGAGGTTGCAAGTAAAGGTTGTGCAATTTGGAGATACTGCCTTGTAGGCTACTTCATTGAAAAGAAAATGTCTTTCTCAACTGTCTCCTTCATTGCTCACAAGATCTGGGACAGAATGGGGCTTATTGAGGTTCTGGCAAATGACCATGGGTTCTATTTCTTCAAATTTGAAGATGAGAAGGCGCATATCAGTGTGTTGGGAGCTGGTCCACGGTTCTTCCAGGGTAGGCCTTTATTCCTTAAGAAATGGCAGTCAGATGGTACTGTCTCAATGGAGGACCACTCTGTCATCCCTGTTTGGGTGAAGCTCTATAATATTCCCCTCCAGTACTGGACAGATGAAGGTATTAGCTATATAGCTAGTGCGGTTGGCAAACCCTTATATGCTGATTCTGTCACTGCAACAAGGAGGAAGATCAATTTTGCTCGTGTATGTGTGGAGCTTTCTGTTAACAATAAACTGATTGATTCTTTTGTTCTACAATTGGAGAGATGCGATGACAACGGCAATCCAATTATGGCAATGATTGGGGTTGAGTATGAATGGAAACCCAAGATATGTCTTGGTTGCCAAACTTTTGGACATACTATGTCTAATTGTTATAAGAAGCTAGACAATAGGCCAGTTGCTCCCCTTACAAGTGGGGTTACTTGCCTTGACAAAGGTAAATCCATTGTCAGTACCACTATGGTGGTGGAGGATCCCAACTCTGGGGCCCCTCTCTCTCCTGCGCAGTTGGCCAGTGGCTCAGATGGGTTGCCTGGCATAATTGGTACAGTTGCTTCTAACAATCAAGTCACTTCCTCCAGCCTCCCTGACTTTGTTAAAGGCATCCATTCACCCATACCGGATAGCACTCTACGATTGGTTGGTGGATCCCTAGTGGTTGACATTAGCTCTGGCCCCCCTAAAGCTACTGAGGTGGAGAAAAATGCACCTGTGGACTCTGCAAATCTATGGATCACTCAGGAAAAGAAAAAGGCCAGAAAGCTAAAGAAAAAGTCCAAGGCTGTGGCTAAGTTAAAAGGAGCTGAGCACCTTAAGCTCAGGAAAGCCCTCCTCCATGATTAATTTGGCTTGTTGGAATATTAGGGGGCTTAATGAGCCTTCTAAACAGATGGAAGTGCAGAGGTTAATTAGAGACTCACATTTGGATATGGTGGGTATCGTTGAAACTAAAGTTGGGAGTGTTAATTGCTCCTCTATTATGCAGCAGGTTTTTTGGGTAGTGGAGTTATGGTGCTAACTACCATTGCCATACCCTGGGGAGGATTTGGGTGGGTTGGAACCCTTCTGTTATTAATGTTTCCTTTCTTGCCCAGTCTGACCAAGTTATCCACTGTCAGGTGGAGCACATTGATAGCAGTTCCTGTTTCTTTGTCTCCTTTGTGTATGCTTTGAATGATATGGTAGATAGAAGACCCCTTTGGGATGACTTGAGATATCATTCCTCTCTTTCTACTAATGACCCTTGGATTATACTTGGGGATTTTAATGTCATTAGGAACCCCAGTGAATCGATGGGATGTGCAGGGAAATGGTCTAATGCTATGCTGGAATTTGAAAACTGCATACAGGCCTTTGAACTAGAGGATTTGCGCTACTCTGGCTTGCAATTTACCTGGAGAAACAAGAGAGAAGGAACTGGGTTTATCACCCGAAAGCTGGATAGGGTCCTTGTGAATTAGGTTTGGAATACTAAGTTTCAACATGCTGCTACTGAGTTTCTTCCACCTGGAGTATCCGATCATTCTCCAACTGTTGTTAAGATGGGGAACTCTGTTTGGAGGAGAAGGAGAACTTCTTGGACACTGTGGCACAAGCTTGGGTTCCTGATGTGCAAGGTTCTCGCTAGTTCATTCTAGCCTCAAAGCTTAAAAGGCTCAAACATGTCTTTAAAGCTTTCTGCAAGGACAGAGGTCATAGCTCTGAGATGGTCCATTCTGCAAAAGTGGCCCTTGAGAACTGCCAATCTAATATTGAAAAGAATCCCTCTGACCACAGCCTGATATTAGAGGAGAGGAGATTACTGGCTGCCTACCTCGAGGTAGCAAAAGAGGAGGACCTGATTTATAAGCAAAAATCAAGGATCCTGTGGCTTAAAAAGGGTGACCAGAATACTAGTTTTTTTTTCAAATCTATGATTACTCGGAGAGGCAGGAAGAAGATCACCTCTATCACAAGAATGGATGAGACTCTTGCTAGTAGTGATAAAGAGGTCAAGACTGAAGCTATTGACTATTTTAAGCATCTCCTGGGTCAGTTGTGTCACACCATGCCTGACTGTGTGAGAATGAGATGTCTTGAATCTATCATACACAGGAAGATATCTGCTCAGCATTCTGGGAACATGGTAAGGGAGTTCTCTAGTAAGGACATCAAACAGGCCTTCATCTCAATGAGTGACCATAAGGCTCCCGGGGCAGACGGGTTTTAAGCCATTCTTCTTCAAGAAGGCATGGCCTATCATTGGTCAGGAGGTCATTGCTGCTGTCAAGGAGTTTTTCTCCAATGGCATACTCCTCAAGGAACTTAACGCTACCACCATCACTCTGGTACCTAGGTGACTAATCCTACCTCTATGAATGATTTCAGGCCCATCTCTTGCTGCAACACCATCTACAAGGCTATATCTAAGCTTATTGCATCTAGATTCAAGGAAGTGATTCCTTATGTTCTGGATTATAGCCAAGCTACCTTTATTCCTGGTAGAAGGATTGGTGATAAC